GTTTCCACTGCATTCGATTGAGCATCTGTTTGATTGGATGCCGATGCTGTCGTCGTTTGTGGGGCAACCTTAATACAATTATTAAGTTCCTTTATTGTTAAATAATTTTCTATTGAAAACGCCCAATCATGAAAATTATCGCTGCCGCTTAATTTTTCGATATTAAAATCTGATTTAGAACTCATGTCTATGTCACTGCCTGAATTTTCACTACTTTCTGAATTTTCACCACTTTCTGAATTTTCACTTTGGAATATTGAACTACCGGAAACTTGAAGTAAATTCAGTGTATTGTCCGTTGGAACAGTTTTAACATTCACCTTTTGTGAATTGTCCATTTGAGTACTATGGTAATATGAATGATTCACTAGACTCTATTCACATATTCAAGTAATCTGAAACTTCGCTTTGCTACCATAAACGCAAATTATAAGAACAGTGAATAATTGAAACACGTCTGTTTTATTTAAGTGCTCATTAGTGAATGAATAGTTTATTTCATTTCAACAAGAACTCGAATAAAATGTATATAAAAATAATTTTGCAAAACTAATGTATTTTGTTTAAAATATGGCGTTCTCTGGACGATGAATTGGAGCGTTCAATTTTTGATTAATTTAACAGTGCATTGATTATACTAAAAAAATCAAATTGATTATAATCTTTTAACAAAGAACACAATTTGTGAATTTAAAATGAGATCTCAACTGACATGTCCATCTCAGTGTAACAACATTTAGTTAACACTGCTATTAAGGTCAACAATCACGGTTTATCTATATATTTTAAATTTTTCTGCGTTTTTTCTGCATTTTTGGGTTTCTGCGTTTATTTTGCTGCATTTTTGGTTTTCTGCATTTTTATTTTCTGCGTTTTTGTTTTCTGCGTTTATTTTTCTGCATTTTAGTGTTTCTGCGTTTTTATTTTCTTCCTTCCGTGAAGGAACCGGTGGGCTAGAATAACTGAAGGGTGTATTTTTGGCTCTAAAAAACACATTTTTGAATAAAATAAAATATATATTTTTTTCTAGTAGGATTTAACATAAAATTTTAGATTTAGCCTTTGGATTTGATTCTTGCACCGTTTTGTTTGATTACCAGCTTCAGACGTGTTGAAAACGAGTCGCACGCGGCACGAATTTCATTCATGGGAATATCGTTCCAAATCTTTACGATTTTCTTTTTGAATGTGTTCAAATTGGTAACCTTCGTAATCTTTAAACTATTGAGCTTCGATGTCATGTAGCCTCAAGCAAAAAAATCCAATGGGTTTAAGTCGGGAGACGTTGGCGGCCATGAATCTTTGTCAATGAAATCGGCCAAATTTGTTCGTAACCACTGTTGCACTGTTTTAGCTCGGTGTGCAGGTGCGCCATCCTGCTGAAACACCCATGGTTCGTTTTGAAACAATCTCTTAGCTTGTGGCAACAAGTTTTTGCACAATATTTCTTGTTTATAAAATCTAGCGTTGATTTTTACGTCTTTTTCTATGAAAACCAGAGTAAATTTTCGATCGGCCGAAAATGCGCCCCAAACCATCACTTTTGGAACATTCTGAAAACGTTCAACGATCTTTTCGTATTCAGGAATGTCTATTGCAGACACTGCGTACACACGATCGTTTTGTGCATTGAGACTTGGCTGTAGCAAGAACAACTTTTCATCCGAAAAAACGATATTTGAATTGGCGTGCCGGCGCAACAGTTCTTTGCATTTTTGTTTTCTGGCTTGCATATTTTTGATCGTAAGACCATGTCGACGGCTTTTTTTGAAAGGTGTCGTAATTAAGTCTTCTTTTAAAACAGGTCGCCTCGAAGACCGGTTTTGTGGCACTTCTTTGGCGATTTCAGCGAATTTTGGCTTTGACTTGTTTGATGAGTGCTTTTGTACGAACGGATCCTTTTTCTCCCGGGTTTCTTTTGTATGTCGACAGTTCCACGTTCCTTGTATCGTTCGATAGTACGTTCAATAAATGTCATGCAAACCTGTTCGTTTTGTAGCTGTCGGAAAATGTCAATGTTTCGAAAACCGCGTTTGTGCAAATTTAAGATGTTGACGTTTCACATCCATTGTTATTGCGTCTAAAATAAACAATGAATCAAAATACGCATTATCATAATAGTTAGGCTAAGGATCAACAAACATAGCGGTGCAAGACCGGGTGAATCAAAAGTAATTGTACAGTCGTAAGAATGTTAAGTAAAAACCCTTCAGTTATTCTGGCCCACCCTGTATATCCATATCCATGAATTGTCCGTCCAACATATCAGTCCGTTTAATGTTCTATCAAATTCTTAGGGTGTCCGTCCGTCCACCAAAATGGACATTGGACAGTCCGTGAAAAGTCCGTCCGAAATGAATTGTCCGTCCATCAAATCCGTTCGGGGACGTTTGACCGCTAGCCGGAATTGGATAACATGTATTATACAGCCCTGAATACATTTACTTATTTTATGCGACGCATTAATGACAAACCAATGAAAAAGTAAACAAACGACATGCTAAACGTGCGTGTGTATGTAATGGGTTCACATTCGGAACAATGGTCTCACTCGACACATCATACTATACACACAAATTTTGAACCAAAAAAGTTTAAAATCGACTTTGTAAGATTTGAGGGGTCGATTTTCACCTTTTTTGGTCCGAAATTCTTGAAAAAGTAATTTTTCATGCTGATTCCGAATTTTTGGGTTTCGGGTCAAAAAAATCACATCTTGGGGGTTTTTGACCCCCCGACCCCCTAAGGGGTGGGGTGACTTGGAAGGCAGGGGTCCTAAAAATTTCTCTCGTCATTCTGAATAACTTTGTAGTATAGTCGTTTCCAAAAAGATCTGTGTTGTCAAACTAATACAATGAATTTCGGAACGCATTTCCATTCAAAAGTACACAAGGCTCCTTAGTTAAACGTGTCAATTTGGTTTGAATTTTGTTGAGGGTATGTTGTTTGTTCAAAATTTTGACGGTTCGCTGTAACAGATCTTATTGAAAACGACTATACAATATTTTTTGATCGGATGAAGTTTTACAAAATTGGGAGCAACCCCACCTCCCTGGGGAAAAATTCAAAATTCTGCTCAGATAGAAATTTTCTATTTTTTACTCCCAACATACCCCCAAAGGGTTTTTAGAAATTTTCACTCCTTCATAGTGAGCCTGATATATGACACACCTGATATTTTGTAATAGCATGTGCATCACGCCCTCTCTACAACGATTACATGTTAAAAACATTATGTGGTTGGCAAAACTTCTCTCATTTTTCAACATTTTTTCTAAAAGTCAAAAGTGCACATAGAACTGTTGGGGACTATACAGGGTACGCACACTCACAGAAAAAGTGGAGGCGGTTTTTCCGCAAATTATTGTAGCAACAGCAGAGCTGCAATAAAAATGTGTTTCTTGAAGCTTATTTTGACAGCTATAGCTGTTCGTATACGAACAAGTGTGTGTGTTTTGACATTTTACATTATCTGTATAAACTAAAAAACCATTGTGATGTTAATAAAACATTTCAGAAATGTCATTTTGACAATTTATATAAATGTGAAGAATTATTTTCCACCGAAATTTTCAACCAAATTCGACACAATTGCTCTGCACAAAAACAAGCCGAGATTCTGGAATCAAGATAATCATTAGCTTACCGAACTAAATGGCAGGATTTTTTAACTTGTAAATATACGAAAAAAATGTGATATTCATTACTTTTTTAAATTAATGTGATGTCGCTTTGACATTTTTAAATCTTAATTTCAGAGATGCATGTATATAATCTTAGGATTTGAAGAATTTGATTCCAGAATCCGAGTTTAGTTTTCAGACATCAACGTCAGTGATGTTCCCAAACATCAAATGTAGATGGTGTGTTATAATCGCTATCGCACACTTGTCTACACTTGCACTGACAAACACTAATACAATACAAATTGCAATACATTTAAAATATATTCATTCATTGAGGTTATGTACAAATCAGAATTACTTTATTAGTCACATACAACTTGATGTTTATGAACATCAAATGAGATGTACAGCGTATTTCAAAATTTACGTATAATATAAGTAATATATTTTACTTGTATTGCAGTTAGTATGTATTAGTTTGAAGTGTATTTAAATGTGTATTAGTCAGTGCAAGTGTAGATAAGTCTGCGATAGCGATTTTAACACACCATCTACATTTGATGTTTAGGAACATCACTGACGTTGATGTCTGAAAACTAAACTCGGATTCTGGAATCAAATTCTTTAAATCCTAAGGTTATATACATTCATATCTGAAATTAAGATTTAAAAATGTCAAAGCGACATCACTATTAATTTAAAAAAGTAATGAATATCAAATTTTTTTCGTATATTTACAAGTTAAAAAATCCTGCCAGAGCAATTGTGTCGAATTTGGTTGAAAATTTCGGTGGAAAATAATTCTTCACACTTTTTTCATCTCTGAAATCACGAATTTAAATTGTCAAAATGACATTTCTAAAATTATTTAAAAAATAAATATTAAAATGTTTTATTAACATCACATTGGTTTTTTAGTTTATACAGATGCTACAAATAATGTAAAATGTCAAAACACACACACTTGTACGTAGCTGTCAAAATAAGCTACAAGAAACACATTTTTATTGCAGCTCTGCTGTTACTACAATAATTTTCGGAAAAACCGCCTCCACTTTTTCTGTGAGCATACATTCGGAAATCGAAAAAACGCTAGATTCATGTTCACTGACATTTTTGATGGGTGTTATTTTTTCGACCGATTCCAATACTTTACCTTACACACTAGGTGTGTGCGGAAAAGTAAAACGAAACGATAGATTCGGTTTCACGTTCACTAAGTCGCAGAATTTGCGCTCCCAACATATGTATCGAAAAAATATATATTTTATTGATATAATTTTTTACTCGATATTAAAAAATAAAACAAGCGCAATTATACTTTTAAACAAATCGCAAGCATATTCAAGAACAAACATAAATGAAAAAAATCAATAAGTTTACAAGATCGTTTTATGTTTATTTTATTTTTCAAATATTTGCGTGTAAAAATGCATCTTAAATTAAACAAATACAATGATTGATCACTGTAAGAACTGAAACGCTTAACTTCTTTCAACAGCAACTTCCATAATACCTTGCACATAAAATACGCCATCTTTCACGTACTGATTAATTTGTTGGCTTGTGTTCTCATCAAACTCTGTTGAGTTGGCAACCATTTTGATGATGCTGTATTTTTCGTACAAAATATCCTTATCAAATTCCGAATTTCGATCAAAAAGATATTCAATTAACCCAGCTGTGTTGCTCAATGCGCGTTGCCCCCACGAATAACTGCAAATCGACCGCAAAAGTCCCAGTGCGGCGATTTTTATTTCTGGAAATGGATTACGACAAAATTCCTGAACAAATGCCAGCTGATTGTTTGCGGTCAAACTGGTGAACCACTGTTCAGTAATCGAGCTGATTTGATTGTTTGACGAATTGGCCTGATCGCATTGGAACAATATTTCTAAGCAATTAAGTGCACGCACTTTCAATGGCGTTGGTAAATTGTGGATTGATTTTCCGATATCATTCAGTACTTCGTGCATTCTTGCCGAATGAGTTTCATCCAATAGAATCTTTCCTTCAGCCGAACGACCCAAATGACCTGAAATTTAAGGAAATTTAAACGACATATCATTAGTCGAAAAGTTTATTCTCATATTCTTACAGCATCTCACTGACCAAATGTGTCAAAAGCAACGGGCAGCGCTGATACATTTTCATCGAGAATGCAGTCAAAAAGTGAATTGATCATGCTTGAGAGACCGTGAATGATTTTGGCTGGTTGCATTGTTGCAATGTGACCGAAAAATTTTAGATATCCGGGCACTAAAATGGTTTTAAATGGATTTTCGTCCAACAATTCAATTTCACGTATAACCTTTGTGAACACATTTTTGTTCTCCATGTAGATGTGACCGTAATCAGTTTGTGCCAAATCCGATATTAGACCCAAAATATTCAGCTTGAGAAGAATATCGTCGGTGTCGATGTCAGCAACCAGTTTTTCCAAAATGAAATTAAACTTTTCGTGATTTTCGACAGATGTTTGACTCAGTTTGACGGCAAGCTCATATACACGACATCGAATTAAATCTTTTCCCGTCAAAATTTGCTCTAAGCGACACTTGATCGAGTTGTCGTTGATGGCTTTCGGCAAAAGTTTCAATAAAATCGTTGTGGAAACGGTAGCCACTTTTGTCTCTTCACATTCCAGACAGTTTACCAGCGCAATAACCATGTTTGACTGATATAGATTTGCCATAGAGACAGGCAAATCATTGCAATTCACATCTTTGACACGCTGCTCAATATAGTTTAGCGCCAACACTTTTACATCATCATTTTTGTGTTGCAAACATTTCTCCAAATAGTCACAATAGCTCACTTTTTCAGTGTGGTCGATATCCAAGTTTGACATACACATGCAAAGAATATCACACGTGAGATTCATTTGTTCGGGACTACAAGAAAAAAACATATATGATAAATGAACTGAACTTGTAATAAGTAAAATGTGTAAGAATTACCTATCACGATAGTCATCAATCGAATCCAACAAAGCCAAGAATTTGGCAGAAACATTCACTTCCTGGTTTGGGCCACTCAATGTTGCTCGTATTTCATTCAATGTATCCAAACGACGTTCTTTTATCTGCAATTTTGCCAGCTGCTCAATGCACCACTCTTCAGACATTTTTTCTAAAATAAAATACTTTATCACCACGAAGAGATATTTAAAAAAAATATGCAGTATGAAATAAAATAAAGCGACCAATTTTTTGAGTTGTTCTTGTTTACAACTTGAATATTTTGACTTGATTGAATGTTTGACAGTTCAGTCTATACAAATTTCTGCAAATCATACTAAACTGAGTTTTGAATATGACAATACTAAAAAAATCAGTTAGAAATAAGACCCTTAAAAGAACGGATTTTTGAAGAAAAAAAGTCATCCTGAAATTATGGTACATTTCCCATATATTTTGAGATAATGGTTCTAATCACTTTGAACGAAAAGACTGAATCTTTTTTATATAGATATTTTGAACAAACAAATTATGATTGATACATCTACACTTTATCTAAAAAAACTAAACTTAAATTATTTGTCAAAAGTAAAATGTTCAACTGATATCAAAAGTTATTAAAAATGAACTTACAGAAAATCATATTTATTAAAGAGTTATGAAGTAATTCAATTTCATTAAGGACCATTTCATTAAGAACATTTCCTATCTAAATATTTTCTAAACGAATCTACTGTACAATGTTTGTGATTTTGGATGCGGCCGGCTTTTCTTGGTGGTAATTTGGTCCATACGGCTTTAATTTCACTAGAATCACCACAATATTTTTTTGAATTATTATATTCTTGTAGTGTTAATAAATGTCAACACATAAAGTTGAACATAACCCCACAACAGTTTTTTCAGAGTACAATTAAGAAAAATCATACTACAATTAAATTCAAAATCATAGACTCCTGAACAATAGACTTGTATCTTTTATACATATTGAGGCTTGTATCTTTTATACAGTGTATTATACACACGTGGCCAATTTTAAAATTAAATTCCCTAACAGAGCAGCGACACGTATAGCACGGTAGGGTTATGTCCACTGATTATTGAGCCATTATCAGTTAGACCCCATCACGTCTGAGTTTTTTTTAAAGATATCGGTTGAAACAATATCCTTAATATAGACCAAACAGTATTACATTAATCAATACACTGCCAATTTTTGGCCGTAGGGCTTAATGTGTAACGTGGGACCGTACTACTAAAAAAACAAACTACTCGACATCCATATTTTGAATTTTTGAGTGAAGAGCCACAAAAATTTTAAGTAAATTACACCTTGAAAATTGACTTTGCCAATATTTTTGTCATATTGCATATTCGCTCCCACTTCAAAAAGTTAGTAAACCCTATAAATTATATATCATTCAAAAGGTAATTTTATGGGGAATCTAAAAAAAAATTGTCTCCACGTGAGCACAACTTATCTTCAATAAATTTCCTCTTGAAAGTTGACTTTGCCAATACTTTCACTAATTTGGCGTCAAACGGCCACTTTGGAAGTATCCTTCACAAATTTGATTGGCTAATAAGCTATATACCGTTGGAAAGAGGGTTCCAAGAGCTATCATTTGGGGAAGTTTCATCAAAATCATAGAAATTGGTTACTTACAATAAAGCTCGAAAGTGTATTTTGCCTATATTTTCCTCATATTGGCTAAATTGCCATCTATGAAGACCAACTTCAAAAAGGCAGTAAACCCCAGAAACTATATACCGTTCGAAAGGTATTTTTATGGGGAATCTAAAACAATTTGAAGTGACATGTGACTGCACCTTATCTTTAATAAATTTTACCTCAAAACTTGACTTTGAAGCTATATATCGTTGGAAAGAGGACTTCGAGAGCTATCATCTGGTGAAGTTTCATCAAAATCATAGAACTAGGTTGCTTGCAATGAGACTCGGAAGGTAATTTTATAAGGAATCTAAAACAGTTTGGTACCTCAGGTGACTCCAACTTTTTTTTCAACAAGTTTCATCTATATCCAAAGTAATCATATTAACACTAGAGTAAAGCACATTTATTCCATCTTTTATCCACCCAATGAAGTTACAGAAAAACGTAATTCCACCCGAATCAATTCGTTATCCACTCAATAAATGGTGAGTGGAATCTAAATATTTTTTAAAGTGGAATCCAAAAAAGAGGATCCATGAATGAAAAAATTAAATGGGGAGCACTTATGGGGAAAATAAAAAAAAACGTCTAGAGGGTTTTTCATGCCCTATCGAATTTCGAAAACCCGATATCTGTATCTTTTATGGTTTTCTCTAAAATCACTGAACAAACATATATATATATATATATCCCACTATTCCATAGCTTAATGTAATCAACTACGTTTCACTCGTCCACAATTCGCATAATCTTCTCAATACCTGAACTGCACTGTTATGCGGAAGGCCATAGATATCTAACGCCACAATAATCACTTGAATCTTTTTCGTGGTATAATATTTCAGATTTTAATCTAGAATTTCAAGTTTTTGTTTGATTATTACCAAAAATCTATTGTTTCAATTTATATAAATGTGAGTAAAAAAAAATGTTTTCCCTAAATAAATGGGAAAGAGACAAAAAATATATTTCTAACATCTGGTGACATATTTTTTTCAAAATAATTTAAATAATAATCAAATTACCTTTGTTAGTCAACCGTGCTTTTCATTATTTTTGCTGATTTTGTTGAAAAAATTAATAATAATATTTTTGACATATAGATGGTGCTGCGAGCAGCAGAATATAATTTTGTATAAAATAGGTTATTATTATTGAATATTATTATGAAATAAGAAAAAAATATATCATATAAAATAAAAATTAACATATTATTGTTTAAAATATTTATTACATATTAAAAAAGTGATAATAATTGAATACTCTTTTAGTTTTTTATAGTTTTGACACATTAAGTGTCACTCTGTCTAGTTCAATCATTGAATGAACTCATCCAACACATTTTACACTCTCAAATCATATTCTGCAGTGAAATAATAACACATTTCAAGATATATTCTGAAAAAAAATTCGTCCATTATCACTATATGTTTGGTTAAAAGAAATAATTGTGTTTTCTTCAATAGTTAAATATTTAAAAGAGAGTCACTAAATTTTTTATTTACAACACATTTCATAACGTTTTGTAAACACTTTTCGCAAACTTCAGCGAAAATTGTAGCGGAAATATCACAAAGTGTAGCGTGAATGCTTCTTGGTAATTTTTCATTTCTTCACACACAGTAAGGCATGATTTCCAAATAATAGAACAAACACATTCTTTTCATCCTTTAAAAAATATTATGAGCCCCTTTTTTAAAGTTAAACATTATGAATACATTAAATTCAAATGAACATTTTTTTTATTCATTTGAACATGTGTATTGAAGAAGAGATGAATTTTTTCGTTACGCTCATTGCTATATCGATTTTGAATATAATTAAAAATACTAAAAAATACGTTTCTTGATGATTTTTTAGTTTCATATAAAAATAAAACAAAGCATCATTTTGAAGTATAATTTTGACTTATGTTGAAGTGTCAAAAAAATGTATGGAAAAATGAGTGGAAGTGCATCGTTTAATTCAACATTCGAAGTCTCTCAAATGCGAAATCCAATACAAAAAACGAAAGGTAAATTGATCTTGAAATACAAGACAAATATATATTAATAACTAATAATTTTCTTGATTAAAGTGGACTCTATACTATCAGCTGAAGCACCTGAATTCGTTCCACGAGTAAATGGTTCTATACCAGTTAATTTGGCAGCACAAACATTTCACCGCAATCAACCGGCAGTTCAGATGGTGAGCCATAATGCATACCGTAATCAGAATCATGGCGTGTCACAATATTCGGTAACTATTTATATTATTTTTTATAAAATTAAGAAAGTTCAAGCCACTGTAATGAAATGCGATTGTTTGCAACTACAAAGATGTTACTTATGTTCTATTCGCATGGTCAGAATTTCCTCTCTTGTACAATTCAAACTTCAATTAGTAATTTATAGTAATATCACGAACCAAACTTTATACATGTTAATGATCAAATTCAAATGATGATAATTAAATAAACAATTGCCTTGCTTTTTTGTGAATTTTATATATTTGACAACATGATAAATATTATTTTACGTTCAATGTCCACTTAACTTATCAAATGTTTGGTGGTTTTAGTGTTATGTTTAAATAACCATTGGATGTTTTTTTAATTTTATTTCAGTACACAAATCATCAAGCACAAGGAAATATGAAAAACACTAATTTTTCCGTCAATCAGCGCCTCCAATTCACAAATACTGCCCCAAACTCACGCAAGGTATTCATGATTTCAAATGTTTCTGTGAAATCAAGTATGCAAATTTTTATTAATGTCTTCGTATTCGTATTCAAAGTTTCGTTCTCAGAGTAATCAACATTTGCATGGACTACATGCACATCATATGCAACAGCAGCAACATCAAATTATGCATTTGAATCATCAGTTAGGTAAGGTTTACCAATACATACAAAATATGTTGAAACACACCGATTTTTTAACATAATATTCAATCAATTGATTATCCGAGAACGAACATGATACTTCTCCTGAATTTCATTGAAGTGTAACGCCGCCATAAAATACTTACGATTTATATGGTTATAAATTCAAGCATTTCATTTATTAAACTGATTTTAAGGATCTCTCCAAATTACACAACAACCTCCGATGGCAGTACCTGGAACTCATTCAAATGAATCAAAACATCAGTCTGAAGGCAATGAACCGGTTAGTATAGTATAGAAGAATTCATATATAAATGCTTCAGAAAAATTAGGATGTAAAAGGTTTTTTTTTGTTTTGATTAACGGTTAACTACCAAACTTCCTGTTCATCAAGTTTGGGCTTGGACATTTTTGATCATATCTGAAAAAAATGTGGAATGGCATATATGCCAATAATTATAATTATTGAAAACTCACAAGTATAAACACAAAAAATATGCGATCAAATCAAGTGAAGATATGGTTATTAAGTGGCTTTAACCTGCCTTTTGTCTAAAATATATAATCAACTAAACAAATTTTTACTCATGAACTAAAACACATCCAGAAAGGTTCAGCCTTTCATTTTATGCCCATTTGACAATTGGTTTTTGGGCAGATATTTACCTACGAGAAAGCGTAAAATCATGTGGTGTGCAAAAATTGATTATTCTATTAATTATCTCAACTATTAACTCACAGCATTTTAAAACTAATTAATCCTCATTTGCTGGGCTTCGGGAATTTTTTTCTTATAATTTGAAGTATCTTAATTTTAGTAATGAGAAATGCAAATCGATCAAATTTCTATATTTCTATATGGTACATTTCAATTTTGTTACAAAAATGATTTGTGTCTTCAACGTGTATCTGCAAATACGAAAACAGAACTTCACGGTGTTTTCCTGCGAAGAATTGAACGATAAAATGATTGTCGTTACAAAATTTAAATGTACCAAATATTGTATATTTTGATGTAAACAATGAATTTAATAGCCACGAATGTCAATTCATAATTGTTAAACATTTACGTAAAGGAACAACAAATTATTTTTTGTTTAACAAATTTGAAATCAAATAATTCAAATAATAAAAAAGAACAAATAATAGTTAGGCAAACAATTGATATTTTTGATACATTTTTCAAAACATTGAACCGATTCCGCGAAAGTATCACAAGTATAATCAGACGATTCAAAGCAAATTGTAATTTTTTTCTTCGTGAATAGTCTAACTATTTCACAAAAACTATTTTACGAATTGAGTTTCTTTCATTAGGCGCAATTTTAATTGAGTATTGATGGCTACTCCTTGTTTTTAATTTCAATTTTCAGACTGAAGCTGCTATGAATGCATTACAGTTTTTGATTGATACTATAGAAAAGTTGATGAATGATCCCGGACAATTCGAAAATTACCAGAAGGAACTAACAACACTTTATATTGATCATGCTGACAATCAACATGTAGTGAGCAATGCAATAGAATTATTCTTCAACCATGTCAGTACTTTTTTCAATTTGCTGTTTCTTGTTTTAAATAGAAATCTGAAAAATTATTTCAAATATATGTTTGTAATCTACTATCCAATTTCTCAATTAGTCAATAGAAGAACAAAACTTTCGCTACACTGGAGCACGATTATGCAGATTATTGGACAGTGTAGATCCCACATCGGAAAGTCTATTCCGTCGTTTGCTATGTTTCAAATTGCAGTACAATGACACTGAATTGATCCAATATATGAATGATAACGAAACGCATAAAGTTCGAAATACAACACTTTTCTTGGCTGAACTATATATACAATTGCAGAACGTAAGTTTTATTTCTGAAATTCATCCAAAATATATTAGAAAATATTATAAATGTCCATAATGTGCCTTTTTAGGATGGATCACGCATTACAAATATTGCAACAAGTATTCACCATGCGATCGGATTGCTTATGCCAAAAACTTCACCTGAGAATATTAAATGCGTTTGTCAAACTCTAAAAGTAGGTTTTTCGAATATATTATTTTAAGATTCCATTTAAACCTATTTACATTTTCAGTTATGTGGCTATGAGTTGGATATTGATTTTCCAAAAGAAACAGAAGAACTTATGAATCAATTGGGTAATTGCGAGAATACTGATGTTTCAACTCAAAGGTTGTTGTCAAGTGTTATAGAACTACGCAAAAATCGTTGGGGCCGAAACATGGCTGAAACAGTAAGATGATTTATAACTGTTGAAATAACACTAATAAAAATGTTCAGAATTTTGATTATGCTCTTGACAATATTGTGAATAATTTTATCACAACACACGGAAAAATTATTTACCAACTATTTTCGTCACTAAATTGATATCAGTAAAATATTGTGCTTCAAATGTTGGTTCTGTCACTCAATTTTCACCTCGACAGAGGTTTTTCATTTGATAATATATAACAAACATATTATATCTTCTTGAGCTTAGTGAAACTATTCTGAAATTAAAAGGTCACAGTCCATTTCCATTATATATTACTAACTTCCATTATTTCCACTTTTATTTCTTTTGTGAATCTCTTTAGTGCCGAAACATTGACAATGCTGGTATGTATTTTTCAGATATTTGAATATGTTTATCAAAGCAAAAGAATTGAATGAATTTGTTTAATTTCCATTTTTCCAAAAACTTTCCTATGTGGAATTGTTGAATGAGAAAATCACTTTTTTTTAAAACCATTAAATTTTGAGTGATTTTAAGCTTGTGTATGCATACATACATACATACATACAAAATTAAAAAGAGTAAAATATTTTGAATTATTCTCTAGCTTCAAACTCTCTGCTAGTGGAGCAACCTTTTGGGAAAGAGTTTAGCAACGATCCAGTATTCTACGGACCAGACGGTAGTATAATAATTTACTCTTATGTAATTTGCATGATAAAATAATCAAAAAATAATATAATCAAAACAATATAAATCAAAATAATATAATGAAAATTCGCTTGCGATATCGCATCCGCCAGTCCTGCATAAAAAATTAAGTAAATAGAGACAGAATTATAAATTGTTTGCTGTACAAACTCTTTGATTTAAGATTCAGTGTCTTTGATGTAAAAAACTGTTGATTTAAGATTTCTTTATCATGATGCATGAACATTATGAGTGTGCAGTAAATGCTTTGTTTTATTTAGAATATCGTCGATTGAATTATTATATTATTTCTATTCATATGTTTTTTGTTTTTTGTTTTTTGTTTTTTCTTTTAGGTAATATACTTACTGAAGAAGAAAGCGCATTTCTTTGGAACGCAACTACTTGTCCAACTGATAATTACTATGATGATGATGAGTATGTTAATTTATTCAAAAAAATCTTACGACATATCCTTGTTAAAAGATTAATTCACTATTTTATTTTTTGCAGAAATGATCCGGACGCTTTAGTTGAAATAGAGCCTGAAATGGATTTGGAGATACAGTTAGCATTTAAAGATTTTGTCACGTATCAAAATAAAAAATGATGGTGACAGAGAACGAATGAAAATTATCGGAACTCAGCACAGAATAAAAGTTTTCATTACATTGGCAAATTACGTTAAATAAATAAGGTTTACTAAAGAAAATTTTGTAGATTACGTTTCGGTATGTTAATGACTGGAAACTTCAACTAACATTTATATCAATAAATAATAGAATAAACGTTCTTTTTACATTTTTACGTTGAAAAATGTAACATTTTGGCCATTCATGGTTATTTTAATGTCAAATGGAACGTAGATTATATGCACAGTTTCCAATAAAGATTACAGATTCTAACGGAGCGCAAATTTGTTTTATTTATTTCAAACCAAATAATGTGATTTTTTTCAAATATAATATGGAAACTAAAGCTTCCCAATAAACTAATAATAGTTTCAGACATACACATGTTTATTAGTATGGCATACTATTAAACATGGGGTTATCCACCTAACTAGAAAACTAGAGAAACATTAGCACATAACGAAGCCAACTTCACACTTATATAGGTACAATTTGAACGTTAAACTACCAAGAGAACCAACTTCACGCACTAGAAAAACTAGTTTTGTGGCTGTCTCCATGCTATTAAATTCAAAATCGGTTTTTACCTCCGAGTGTTCTTAAGTATATCCGCTATATAGCCACAGACTATATCTATTAGGGTGGGTCAATTTTTTTGCATCAAAGCATCATCGCGATTCTGGTTCTACGGGTCATAACAAGCATTTTTGGCCAAGGAACCATATGACGGCCTTAGAAGAAAACAATAACATACAGAACATGCTGCAAATAATACTAATACAAATTTTATGAGAGCAAAAACCAAATATATAAAAAGACAGCGCAAAAGGCAAATGCAAAGCCAGCCTACTTACATAAGAAACACATGTAAGTAGGCTGGTTTTGCATTTGGTTTTTGCTCTCATGAAATTTGTATTAGTATTATTTGCAACACGTTCTGTATGTTTTTGTTTTCTTCTAAGGCCGTCATATGTCTAAAATGAATTTCGAGTCTGCCAATTTTTCTATGTAGATATTTTCCAAAATATTTCAAAATCGACTTAGATATTGCATTAAAAAGGCAAAAAACAATATTTTTTCTCTAGCCAAATGTGTATGCGGCATCTTTTTGGTACGAGAAAGCCGAATCTGGCCTTTGTTTTGCGATACAATCACGTTAAAATACACTTTCCCTACAAAAATTTACTTTTTTTGACAAAAATCCATCATTGTGTACTAAAAATGCCACATCTATTCAAAGGTTATAGGTTTTTTGTGGCTAGAAACATTTCTAGAGCAATAATAATGCAATAACATCTTGTATTTATAGTCATTTGAACATTCATCATAGCTTGAATATCGAGAATTTTTATTTTTTATTTATTTATTTCACCGCCTGTTCTCAGACTGAATATATGTATCACAATTATTTTACAATATCATTCGCAATGAAACACTACCCGATCGAATATCCAGCCACCAGTCTTTTCGACTTCGGAGCAGCAGATATCGACTGTGTCCATTGCATATTTCTAGATCATAACACAATTGTCCTTAAATAGCCAATTTATCGATTATTAAATATCACATTGTCCAATTTAACAATATTATTTCTAAAAGTTTGTCTCGATGCCGATTCCAAAAATGTTTCTCTTATTAAATTAAAGTTTCTACAAGCCACGTAAAATGGTTGATTGTGTGCATACTCCGATGTGAATGTTCTAGCTCTGATCAAAATCTGGGGTTGGAGGGTCAAAACCCCCCCCAAATATTATTTTTTCGAGCTGAAACCCTGAAATTTGAAATCAGCATGAAAAATTACCCTAGAAATGATATTTTTCTCATCCACTTTTTTTCACAAATTTTTGACCCAAAAATTGCTTGACCCTCAAAATTGGGCACTAAAACTTGCCCCAAAAGATGGACGAAAAAAATATCATTTCTAGGGTAATTTTTCATGCTGATTTCAAATTTCGGGGTTTCAGCTCGAAAAAATAATATTTGGGGGGGTTTGACCCTCCAACCCCCCTGGGGGGTGGGGGGAGGTGAAGTGCGGGGGTCATAAAAAATTTCTCTCGTCATTCTGAACAACTTTGTAGTACATCATTTTGTGATCCGATGAATTTTTGGCATAGTGGGGTGCACCCCCACCCCCCCTGGGCAAAAATTCAAAAATCAAAATTGGTATGCGATATTTCGGCATTGATGCAAACCAGATATAACTAAAGAAATAACCAATTTTTCCTAAAATTACCTGATATTTTACGGTTAAAATGTTCGTTTACTCTTAAATAATATTTTGAAATTTTAGTATTTTTTTTTAAATAAATTTATTTTTTCCCTTTTTTAAAATTTTTAGTTTTGGAAAAAAAGAGGATCTCGTCCATCTTTTGGGCCAAGTTTTAGTGCCCAATTTTGAGGGTCAAGCAATTTTTGGGTCAAAAATTTGTGAAAAAAAGTGGATGAGAAAAATATCATTTCTAGGGTAATTTTTCATGCTGATTTCAAATTTCAGGGTTTCAGCTCGAAAAAATAATATTTGGGGGGGTTTTGACCCCCAACCCCCCTGGGGGGTTGAGGGAGGTGAAGGGCGGGGGTCATAAAAAATTTCTCTTGTCATTCTGAACAACTTTGTAGTACATCATTTTGTGATCCGATGAAT